AATGTTCATTCAGATTCTTTGCCTACTTTTTAGTTGGGTTGTTTATCTCTTTATATTGAATTGTAAGTACTTTATGTATTCTAGATACAAATCTTTTATTAGATATATAATTGTCAATGTTTTATAGTCTGTGAGTTGTCTTCACGTTTTTGAGATTATCATTTGAAGTATTTTACATTTTTAATTTTGATAAAGTTCAAATATTGCTGTCATATCTAAGAAGACTTTGCCTAACCAATGGTCTTGGAGGAAGTAGAGGTGGAGCATGTTGGGATTGGAAATAGGTACACTAAGGTGAAGTTGAGGTAAGAGAAATGGGTAGAATGGGATTAAGTTTTGAGTAGAAAAGATTTTTCTCCTACTATGAAAGATTCTGGACCCCTGAATATCAGTTTTATGTGTCTTTATTTGTTTAAAATGAATAATGATTCATACTTGAACATACTGTTCTTCCCTTTGCTTTTTCCCTACACCATATCTTTGAGATCATTGTCAATTAATTCTCCACTCTATGGCTATACCACCTTTTGTTCACCCAAAATGTTCAGTTGATGAACATTTGGGTTATTTCCACTTTGGGGCTATTGTGTATTAGCATGTTACTTCATTGTTAACACCCATATTCTATCCAGTGTAATGTTGCATCTTAAATCATCTATCAGTTTCCTATGTTATATTAGCACAAAAAAGTGAATATTTTTCAATATCACACTTAGGTGAACATCTTCATCCTTGTACATGTATGTGTTTAGATCTCTTTATGTGCACATTTAAAATAAATTTCATAACAGTACTGCCTGCAAGATTCCCATGATGCTCTTTACCATGGAATGTATGAGAGTGCCTATTGGCCCTCTTGCTTAAGCAGCTGTTACTGAGTATTATTGATATTTTAATTTTACAAATCTGATAGGTTAAAAATGGTATCCTGTTTATTAATTGTGTATGAATTTAAAGTGAGTATATTTAAAAAATTTGTTTTGGCCATTTTTTTTTTTTTAAATTGCTTATTTGTATACCCTTTGTCTTATGGAATTTATTAATTTTAGTTTAATGGAAGGTACCAGGAGTATTTCTTTACATGGGAAGTAGTGAGGAGGATTGCTCTGGTTGCTCACTCCCTCCAATTTGTAAAGTCCTTAAGAACTGAAATTCTGACCAGCAATGGTGTATCTCAGCCATTGAGCATTGGCATAGGAAACAAGAGGTCACCACCGGTTCAATTCCCAGTGAGGGCATATGCACAGGTTGCAGGCTCGATCCCCAGTGGGGAGTGTATAGAAGGCAGCCAATCAATGATTTTCTCTCATCATTGATGTTCCTATCTTTCTCTCCCTCTCCCTTCCTCTCTGAAATCAATAAAAATATATTGGCGAGGGGGGGGGTAGGGAGAGAAAAGAACTGAAATTCTTCCCGTGAGTTCTCTAATTCTGATTGTATGAGTTTTTGTTTGTAAAATGCTCAGTCACCATGCCTACACAGTAGTCAGTGCTCAACTTCCTCTCTTTTCTTCCTTCACTTTGTTTTTTCACTTTATGCCAGATTTTGTGGGAGGCAACTTATTGTCTAGTGATGATGACTCCGGTGTTTCCTGCACATCTGGTATGTGAGCCTGTCTAACAGGGCTTCACTGTGCCTGACCTTTGAATGGGGCCATCCCATGGCCAGGGTCACTGGGCAGGCTAGCAATTTGGTTCCCCCTTCAAATCAATGTGTTTTAAATATCCAGTAGTTATTAGAGGAGAAGAGCTTCGTGGAAATATAGAGTGGATAGCACTTAGGCCAAATTTTGGCTGCCTTCTGACCTTTTGACTTCACTCTGCATAGCAAACCTGAACCACCCTTCAGAAAAGGAAGTTATTTTCTGAGGCTAATTTCTGGAGGGTTGATTCTTTTCCAGGGTAGACTGCCCAACTCACTTCCTACCACACCCAGTGTGCTGACCAGACCATATCCCCCTGCAACTTTCACTTGATATTTAGTGTCCCTTTAGTCCACCCTTTAGTGCAGTCTTAATGTCAACATGTATGAAATAAGGTGACTGAATTTTGTTTAAACAAATCTATTTGAACTTGTGTTTTAGTGAGTGTTCTCTCTCAAGGATTGAAATTGCTTAAAACAGCACTTGTAACACATTCCTTTTCAGTGTTCTCAGAGGTGACAAGTTTCATACTTTGGTGTTGAGATTTCTCTCCTCTCCCTCCTCCAGTAGTTTAAGGGTTTCTAAATCCCAGTGCAGTGACTGGGGGCAGGGATTAAAGTTATAACTATACAGTAATGAGAGGGGTCCTTTTGAGGTCCCTAAACACAGTGGCTTCTAAATGGTAAGCTGTGGGTTTTTCCCACCAGACAATGCTCTCACATGATTTATCACTGAGTTTCAGAGACTTCATGGACCCTCTGAAAATTTATCTAAAAACCTTTTTGAATTATTGTGAAAGACATTCATTTTCATGCATTGGTTCTGAGATTTTGTTTTAAGACTTTTGCCTTAGAGTCAGACTTTGTATCTTAGACTTGGATGTGAGATACTATTTGTGGATTTTGAAGTTAGAAAAAGGCGAGGGTGTGTATCTGTGCCATACAGGAAGCCTGTTTAAATTTTGGCAGCTTCCTCACTTTGCGTATCAAGTATTAGAAACCCATAAAGGGGACCATTTGTAGCTAAAAGACAGGAAGTGATAGATCTAAAAGGAGCTTGCAGACAATGCTTCATGAAAAAGTTAAAACCTGAGGGGGAAAAGTCAAGCATACTTGAAAATAATGCCAAATCTGAAGTAATACACATTGTTTTCTTTCTTCTAAAATGAGATATACATGTGAAAGCAACTCGTCAGTTGGTTCTCAGTATATGTCAGCTAAATACATTTCAGAGTTTCAAATACATTTTGTGATAATGGCATTTCCCCTCTTCTAATCTAAGGCTTTTAAGGTTTTCCATAAGCTTGCATTTTAACGCAGTATATTTTCACTATACAGGAGTGTAAACCTGAATGTATAGCTTTAATCTTTAAATTTTTGGCATTTCATGCCCTTTCTCTTAAAAATATTATGAAAGGCTTGGGGAACATTTCTTTTTACAGAATAGTTTACATCCTGAATGAACATCTGCTGTTTGAGAGCATCCTTGGATGATTCATACAACCTTGTAGATTTATGGGAGTCTGACTATGGGAAGGAAGTTTCATTAACAGCAGCAAATGTGGCGGAAGTGGAAATGGTGGTCTATTTTTAAATTTCCTCTGTGTTTGCTTTGAATTGGTCTACTGATCTAATCCTTCTCTGTGTTCACTAAGCCACCAGGCAGAGAGGTACTTGTCAGACTCATCAAACTCATTTCCAGGAGAGAGCTCTTCAGTTTTCTCAAGGAAGGTTTTAAGGAATCCAGGATCTATTAAAAATGGCAGGATGAAGAGAAGTCGGTTAGTTACACAACAGTGCTTTCAGATTAGAGACAGGGACTGAGAGCTATGGCTAGACCTCTTCACTGATGAAGTTCGGGAACTGGAGCCTACAGAGAAAGGGTGTTTACTTCTTAAAGTTACCTGTGGTGTGATGCTTGAAGTTTAGGTTCAGTGGCAGCATTTAGGAATGTGGGTTCAACTGGTGTTGGACATGAACTGTTTAGAGCATAAATTAAAAAAATCTTATGTGAGTTATGTGATTAATTAGTTTTCTTGGTTGATGTTCTCGTGATTCCCAAAACAGGTTTAAGTCAATGAGCAGTCTCCTGCCCCATCAGTACTTCCTGCTGGTGACTGAAGATATAGACCAAGGTGGGGTCTGCAGTGCTGAGTATAGGACTGACTGGCAGGTTTACTTACCTGGCTCCTGGCTTGAGCTAGCCAAGACATGCTAGGGGGGGTGGTGTCTTCTTGGTGGAGCTCCTTTCCCTTCTGCTCAGTGTGGAGGGCTGAATTCAGATGAGGGTGTTGGTTTTCCTTCCCCATGCCACCCTCCAACACTATAGGAGAAAGCCACTGCCAATCTCAGTCATAAAAGAGTCATGTAAAAAGGTGTGTGAGTACTTTCCAAAACTTTTTCAGTGATGCTCAGGTTTGATCCAGGATTAGGATTAGGATTTGGATCTGAGGTTCCTTTAAAGTCATGTGATACAGTGATAATAACCAGTTTATTCAGTTTTTGCTGCCACTGTATCATTTTTTTCAGATATTTAAGTCACTGTACATTTTAGTTTATGCTTTAAAGAAATACCTTCATTACAACTTCCTAATTAAAGCAATTCTCCTACTAAGACCCCAATTAAAAATAATCTTTATTTTTGACAAGTGCTTTGAGAGAATTCCTGATCCATCTCAGAGAGCGCTTCCAAAGAAAAACTGACAATATTATTTTTATGACTTGTCTAAGTGAAATAAGGGCTATTTGTTTTTAAAGCCATTTCTGTGTCTGCTCTTTCAAATTCGTTTTTTTTTTTAACTTGGTTCTTTTAGGTTTTCACTCTAAAGAGAAGTTATTCTGAGCTGGCTGAATTAATTTTGAAGAAGTTGAATTATTTAAATTCCATTTTGGGGAAGAGGGAGTACTCATCTTTAACATGCAAAAATTAAATTCTGCTTGCTTTGTGAAATTCAGAACCTGAAACTGTTAGGCAGTGCCTGGGAACTGTCAGTGCCAGATCCCTTGCACCTGAGCTGTCAGCATCTAAAGTTTTTTCCAGATCAGTCATTTTAACCTATAGAATTTTAACATCAATCAATATACTTTTCAGTGCACCATGATCTACTAGCCTTTTCCTACGGAGCTCTGCTTGGTATAATTATTATTTGTATAACTTGGATAATACACAACTTGGGATGGGAAAATTCACTTTTGGGTGCAGTACCGGCTCTTCCTTTTGTGGTTGTGCTGCCATAGAGATGCTTAACAAAAGCAAAGAGGAAAGAGCCTATTTGTCTATGTGGATTCAAGAAGTAGAGAATACTTATCAATGCCAAAAAGATCATTCTTTAATAGATGGCTTTTGTGTTTTGTTTCAGACTCACAAGAAGTTGATGTACAGCTGATAGCAGAAGTGGTTGCAAAATGTTCGTCTGAGACTCATTCTAGACCCACAGAAAACGAGGTTTCACAGCAGGCTATTGATTCTTACTCAGTTAGGGATTTCAAAGAAGAACCTGAACATGGTATTAGCAAAATTTCAGTGGTGAGGCCATTTTCAATAGCAACCAAGAAGTCCACGGATAACTCAGAGGCAGCTCTTGGAACAGAAGCAGCAAATGGCTGTGTAACGGCCATTTCAGGCGAGGCTCTACCCTCCAGCCCACCAGAAGCCACCCAGGACAAGGTGATGACAGAAAGCACCATGGGGGTTACACTGGAGGCTTCCACAGAAGCTGACCTGAAGAGTGGCAACTCCTGTCCGGAGCCAGTGCCCAGCAGAAGCAAGCTCAGAAAGCCCAAACCCATCTCTCTGAGGAAGAAGACAGAAACTTCCATGGAGGGCATGCCTCTCCCCCAGGCATCCCATCCTGATGAAATGGATGGGAACACAAGTCCTTTGCAAGGAGATGCCAGGACTCAGAAATCTGCCCCTGACACTAAGGAAACAAGCAGCACTCCCAGCAGTGACACCAATGATTCCGGGGTGGAGCTGCTGGAGGAGTCAAGGAGCTCACCTCTGAAGCTCGAGTTTAACTTCACAGAAGATGTGGAAAATGTAGAGTCCAGGAAAGGCCTTCCAAGAAAACTTGGCAGGAAACTGGGTAACAAACTGCCTCCAAAGGCACAGAAAGATGGCATCAGTAAGCCAGGAGGCACCAAAGGTTCAGAACCACCCCCGGACCAAGCCACAGATGATGCTTCTCTCTGCCAAGCGTCTTCTAAGCAGAATCCCAGTTTTGGTCCCCTGGGTGGCCAGTCCACACCGCAGGACTCCCCTCCCCTCTCCTCTAAGGGATCCTACCACTTTGATGAGTCCATGGATCCCTTTAAACCAACTACAGCTTTAACAAATGGTGACTGTTCTCCTGCTGGTAATCATGTTAATGAAACCTTAGAATCACCCAAGAAGGCAAAGTCGCGTTTAATAACGTGAGTGATGAGGGGTGTGGGTGTTGTGTTCTATGTACACTCTGAAAGTTTGGCAGCCGGCTGCTGTGGGTTTTGGGGATCTGGAGTTCTCTTTGAGGTGCAGGTGGGCAGACACAAAGCTTACGATTTCATATTGCAGTCTTCACTTAAGCCAGGAAAGTACGTTTGTTTTAAAGCAAACTTTTGTGTGGAATCAAATACCAGAGATTTCCTTTCTCGATATCTGCCTGGTTTATGAATCCTCAGATTATTCAGCTGAGCTCTTCCCCGCAACACCCTCCCCCCCCCCCCCCCTTACTTTTGGTACTTTTGTCCTGGTTAACAAGATAGGCAGGTAGAGATTTGATGGTTTTCAGGAATCTTATCTGGGCTGTTGGGAATCGCTTTATTTACAGAATTCATATTCAGATTCTCTGTGGATAAAACAAAAACTCCAAGCCTACAGATTACCTGTTTAATGTCAAGAACTAGTAGAAAATGGTCCAAAAGGATCTTATGGAAGTTTTTCACTTAAAACAGAAAACTGTGATTTTTGTTGGAAACCAACCACTGAAAGTTGGGAAGAATTCTTATGTCTTTATGGTTAACTTGTGGTTCCATCAGCAAGGAGGTGAATTTCCAATAAGAATCAAGAATATTTTAAAGGATGACAGAAATCTGACTAGTCTTTTGTTGTGTGTTGTGACACCACCCCTGCCCTACCCCTTGCCCTGGGAAGTCTGGAGCCACTTTTGCAAGATCCTTGGAGTTTTCAGAGTGATTACCTCAGGCCACAGTACATGTCAAATTTCAGGTTAAATTTGTTACAAGGTTCCCTTATCACAAAACGAAGTGGTGACAATACACCCCTTTGTGACCCCACGGCATTTTGCTTAACATTGAATATAAGAGAGACCAATGACATAGAGGATGAAGTATGAAAAGGGAAGTTGAAAAGAAATATGTTTTTAATTGTCACCATAGATCATTAGGGAAGCAATTTTTAGTATTACTATTACTTAAAAAAAAAAAAGTGCTGGATGGTGTGATATAATAAAGGAAAAGGTTTAAAGAGCAGAAAGTATCAGTCCGGACCAAGAAGCTCAAGCAATGTAGGAATCAGTTCTTCGGCAACTTCAGAATATCTAGGGAAATAAGATGCCAGTAATTATTGTTGATTTATTCTCTGATTATACACTGAGTGGCCAGATTATTATGACCTCTGAACGCATAGTATCTTGCCACTCAGTGTGTGTGTGTGTGTGTGTGTGTGTGTGTGTGTATTTTTTTAGAAGCCCAGTGCATGAATTTGTGCGTGGGTGGGGTCCGGCCAGCCTGGCCAGGGGGAGGGGACATGGGCAGTTGGCCAGCCTGCCTGCTGGTCGAACTCTTGGTCGAGGAGACAATTTGCATATTAGCCTTTTATTATATAGGATATACACTGAGTGGTCAGATTATTATGCGTTCAGTGATCATAATAATCTGGCCACTCAGTGTATAGGGGCTGTTAAATGGTTGCTGAAAAAGATGATTGATCAGGTGTCCCCAAAATGCTCTTTTGTGGCTGAGGTTAGTTACAGTGCTTGGGGTATGCATTGGCCAGGTCTTTACCTTGGTGCTTCTTGATATGGGGTATCCTATATATGGGGTGTCTCTACTTAGCAAGGTTGATAAGTCATTTCATTTGGGAGCCTTCCTTCCAACACATGTTGAAGGCATGTAGCCATTACATTAGATGAGGTTAAATCTAGATCAAAGGGAGGGAAATCGATCTACACCTTATTTTCTATAGCAAGAAGCACCCTCCCTTGACTCCTATCACCCTCACCTGGTAGCATTGTCCTCCTAATCTGTTTTGGGTGAATGGACTTCTTGATCTACTAATATACCTTACAGATTTTTAAAAAATTCTATGCAATCAAAACTCTTGCCTCCAAAAAGGTTATTTGACCTCTGTGTAACTGGGATTTTGTTTAGCAAAACCCTTCATTGGTAAGGAAGACTGAAAATATACATGTGGTGATAGAACTAGTGGAGAGTTAGAAGTTCTGTTAGCAGGGTACTTGTGTTATTTTTTAAAAGATGTATATAATTGGTGTCTCAGATTCTTCTGTGAAATGGAGACATCATCCTATGATTAGGATTCTTGTCGACCAAATAAAGTATGGAAAATCAGGTGTCTTAGTGACAAATACCTACAGCAGATATAAGCAGATACATCTTCAACTATATTTTTGTTCACACATTGCCTTAGATGACTAGACATTTAAGAGTAAATGTGTTCAGCAAGGAAATGTTTACTTTTTCATTTGTAAGCTTGAGTATGTGGCATTTCTGAATGTTTCTATCACCCTTACTCAGAGTTGAGGTTCCTGACAATCATTCACTCGCCATTGATAACATTCATAAAAATGACATTTTAAATTTGTATCTCACCTCATAGAAAGAACTTTGCAGCCCTACTAGAGATAAATATCTCAGGCTTTACATGATTCTTTTCTCCATCTGTGTGTCTCTTTCCTGTTTCTAATTTTGTTGGTACATCAGGACTACTGAACAAGTGAAATTTCTCTGTTTTCTGTTGTAAGTACTCCTACGGTGGTTTCTTTCTGTCCCTGAGACTGTTGGCAGTTCCTCTTCCCTCCTCCCCAGAGCATCTCTCCATAGCATGTTGGCTTCCAGTTCTGAGTTTGACCTTCTGTTTAATTTTTGCATTTCATTTGCCACTTCATGAGTCAGCTTAGCCTTGTGATTGTCTGTACCTGAAGGAGTGGCGGTCGGCCTTCCAACCTTAGGTGCGTGAGCTTGCGCTCTCTGCCTTGGCACGCCTTGTGTGGCGCTTTGATACTGAATGCTGGCTTGGCCCCAAAGATCATCTGGCAGGGGTTTCAGACACTGCTCTGCTATTTAATGTTGAAAATAATTGACTTTCTTGATAGGATAAGGCTACTGGGTTGGAGCAGGGGATGAAATGGAGACATCATACTGTGATTGGGATTCTTGTGGACCAACTTGAGTTTGGTGGCAAGGGGTGGCACTCAAGCAGTAGGAAAAAAAATCACGAGCCAGGCAGTGGTTGTACACATTTTAGTAACATATATGCTTGCCTTTTTTTGTTTGTTTCCCCACACAAGAAAAAAAAAGTTGCTTTTTTTTTTTTTTTTTTTCATAGTGGCATTACTGGAAATTTTAAGTTCATCCAAACAAAAGAATTTGAACTAGTCTTTGGATAGTAAATTATGCGCTAGTTTAAATAACTGTTGATTTGAGTTTTCCCTGGTTCCAGCCATAACGTTCTTTCCATCTTACTACTTAATAGGAATGGTAATAGTTTACACAGATATTTTCCTTTTTATACTTTCTGTTAACCCCAGTTCTACTCTGTTAGCACACACGCCCGGGGTTGTTTTATTAGACTTCTTATGGCTTTTAGTGCAATAAAGAATTTTTAAAGAATCTAGTCCAGCGTGGTAATTTTTCTAACGAATGCCAAAGCCCCAGTGAGTAAGGATTAGATGAACCGAATGTCTTTGCTAAGGCTGCTCTCTCAAAGGCTGCGGTATGTAATGAAAAATTGTAGAAGCTCTTGCAGAGGTCTTTTCAGAGAATGGATTGACTGTAGTTCTTTGCTTGCCCCGCATCTCAAGAGAAGATTCAGAGATGTAAAAGCTGCTCCCATCTCTGACCTGTAGATGTATGACTTATGTGGTGCTGTATGCCTTGGCTTCTATCTGCACACACTGCTCTCTCTGCTCCATCTCATAGCTCAGAAGTTGTCAGTGAGATTCCCAACTAGCCTAGTTAATTTGTTTTTTTCTTTCAGGAGTGGCTGCAAGGTGAAGAAACATGAAACGCAATCTCTTGCTTTGGATGGGTTTTCACAGGTAAGTCTGTCTATCACCAGAACATCTTTTAGACCATTTGTCCCCAAACTACGAATGCATCCCCTCTCCCACTATGAGAGGGTGGGGGGGGGGGGGGAAGAAGAGGAGGCGTGGTAGTTAACGGAGACTTCCCACTGGGTACTGGAATATTTGGCTTTAAGAGAACCAAAGTCCTAAACTGATCTGAAAAGGCCTCTCAGGACAAGGCAACCCTTTCACAATTCCCCTTTTCCCATTATTTTAAGGTTCTCTCTCACCCATTTCAAATCTTACCACTGGGTGTGAAATCTCTGGAGCACCAAGCAAAGGGGAGATTTAAATATTGATGAAGGTTTTTAAGGAGGTGATTGACTCCAGTGAGCAGATACTATTTTTTTAAAGTCAGATGATTTTCCAGCTCATCACTTTCAACCAAATAAGAAGACCTGAGTTGATGGAAGTGAAGTAGACTTAGAAGTACAGGTTCAGAGAGGAAAAGGAATGATGTACATTTTTGACTCCTTAAAGAGGTTGTTTGTTTCCAATTTTAAATACATTGTAGGATATCAAATCATTAGAATAACTACATTGAATTAAACAAGGTAGTATTTAAACTATATTAGATATTATATCCTTCAAAATTATTTAAACCTATGCTGAACAGTTTTTAGGTGGCACTTGAAAATACAATGGGGTACACAGATATTTTTTTGGTTTAATTTAGGAGGTTTATGAGCAAAATATTTGAAAACCACTGCCTTGGGACACTTAAACATCTTTCTAATAAATTTAGGCTAGAGAAAGTTAATTTGTCAAACCTCAGATTGGAAGCAGAACAGCTAGGTGCTAGAAAAAGGCAACATTCTATGATTGAAAGACTCCAGCTTCTTGCTTGATCTGTACTCAGATCTGTGGTGTACTCAGATCAAATAGTGGCTGGCTGCTCTGAGATGTCCCTTTCCCCACTTAATGGTAGCATCTTCTCTGTTGCATCTCCCAGGATGAAGGAGCAGTGATCTCCCAGAATCCAGACATTTCTAATAGGGACGGCCATGCTACCGATGAGGAGAAACTGGCATCCACTTCATCTGGTCAGAAATCAGCCGGGGCCGAGGTGAAAGGTGAGCCAGAGGAAGACCTGGAGTACTTTGAATGTTCCAATGTTCCCGTGTCTGCCATAAATCATGCGCTTTCATCCTCAGAAGCAGGTATGGAAGTACATATTCATCTTTCTAATGAATATAGCATGGAAATGCCTGAAAGCCTAGTCGAGATGCCTTAGAGAGATTAGAGAATTTGGATTCTGATCTAAGCTTTGCTTCTTCATCTAGAAAAGAGACACAAAAAGGGTGTCTTATCAAATACCAGGGACATATGGATTAGTGTGGCAGGATGTGCTGGGGGCACTAATGTGTGGGACTGCTTGGCGTTTTTTATAATTTATTTTAATGTGGCCACATCTCAAAGTATAGTGGCCTGTAACCATGATGTGATTATTGTGTTCCTTTTCAACTTACAGAATAATAATAACTAACGTGTAATTCCTTACCATGTGCAGGCATTGTTCTAAGTGCTTTATGTGTATTAACTCACTGCTCTTTGTTATGTATCATTTTCCCCCCATTTTTCAGAGAAGGAAGTGAGACATAGAAGTTAAGTAACTTGGCCAAGGTTACTAAATGGCTAGTAAATGGTAGAACTAGGATTTAGACTTTAGCAATAGGTTCCATGGTCTTTTAATCAAAAGTTTGTTTTCATTACACTGGACCAGTGGTTGGCAAACTGCGGCTCTCTTGACTAATGAGTTTGCTGACCACTGCGCTAGACCATTATAAATTGTCCTGCTCACGGATGTGGTAGACTGAAATTGACCAATGTCCTATAAAACCCTTCTTAATGTCCAAACAAGAACCTAGATAGACTAACTTTCTTGCTAACCTTCTTTCTGTTGGACTCTCAGAACATTCTAGAGCTGAGACCCTCCTTCTAGGTCCCAGGTTGTATCTGTGATCCTAAACTTGACTTGTGAAAAGTTTAGAACCATGTTCCTGACTACATTAAACATTATTTAAAAAGCAACATAGTTTAATTTGTCATTTTTAGACCTAGAATTTAAGAAATCATGATCTCATCAACCGAGGGAAACGGGATGGGAGTCAGGATTTTGTGAGAGTTACTCTTCCAGCCTCCTCCCTGCCCCCAGGTCTCAGTTTTTCATCTATAAAATAAATGTGGCAGGCACTAGTACAGTTTTCCTCCCAGGCCTCTTTCTGCTCTGACTTCTTTCCCAAGACTTCATTTGCCATTTCCCATTTTACCACCTTACTCAGGAAGGCTACACTTATTTCTTTTATGTGAAATATCTTTGCCATCTCTTATAGAAATTCTGCCCATCCTTTTGGGCCTATTTCAAAAAATGTCATTTGGCTCCCACCATGCTTTATGCTCCCAATGCGTTTCTTCTTACTGTTTGTGTTTTGTGTATTCATTATAGAAGGGTATCTTTGATAAGCTCCTCAAGGCTAAGGACTATGAGTAATTCATCTTTGTATTTCCTCGGCGGCAGGTGCATAGTAGATATTTGTTAAATTATATTCTTCCTCACTTGGAGGAAATTTGAAGAGCTGGGGTTCTGTTAGATACAGTGCTGTCCTCATAGTGGTAGGTAGTATGTTACTGTGTGTAATGATCATCCATATCAAGGGAGAAGCAGAAGCTGTGCTCATGCAGGTAGGAGTGTGAGATGGACAGGTGTACTGACCCTGTCAGGTGAATCAGAGAACATTTATTGGGAAAAGTCACCTTGGAGCTTGGTGTTGATAGATACAGACATAGATGTGCACCAGAGAATGAGGATCTCTCTCAGGGTTGGGAAGGAACCTGCCATGTGGGTAAAATGTCCCGGAGCCTATGAGTACAGGATAAGTAGGAAAATGAAGTGGTACTGAGGATTTGGGGCTTGCTTCTGTAGGTGGAGGGAAGCCACTGAAGGTTTTTTCATTATTTTTAAAAATACATTTTTATTGATAGCAGAGAGAAAGGATGAAGGAGAGAGAGATAGAAACATCAACAATGAGAGAAAATCATTGATTGATTGCCTCCCTCACTCCCCCTACTGGGGATCGAGCTTGAAACCTGGGCATGTGCCCTTGACTGGATTCGAACCCAAGATCCTTCAGTCCGCAGGCTGACACTCCATCCAGGAGCCAAATCAGCTAAGGCTATTGAAGGTTTTTAAGCAGAGTAGTGATAGTCACACTTGTGTTTTTAAAATAATTCATTATAGATGGACACTATGCTAAAATAATAATTTGTTATTGCTTTGTGGGAGATTGTAGTAGTATAGAATTTTAAAATATTTTAAAATTGTCTTCAGTCCTGGCCAGTGTGTCTCAATTGGTTGGCCATCATCCCATGCACTGAAGAGTTGCCAGTTTGATTCCCAGTCAGGACACATGTCCAGGTTGCAGGCTCTAGTGCAAGGTGTATAGGATGTTTCACTCTCAATTGGTCTCTCTCTCCTTCCTTCCATTTATTTCTCTCTCCCTCTCCCTCTCTCTCTCCCTTCTTCTCTCTAAATATCAATAAAAAAAAATTTGTCTTCAGCGAGAGCATATTCTTTTCATTAGAAAACGTGTAGTGTTAGGTTTTTTAAAATGTTGTCTCTGGTGGTAGAGTAGGAGGTACAAAATGAATTTAGTTTTGTGGGTATTGCAATTTGGAGCTTACTGTTTTATCTGCTACTGCTTACACTAATTAGACTGAGGGTACCCTGGTAGGCTGGAGTTTAAGACTTGGTAATACAACAGCATTCAGTGTTTCCTCTTCCTGAAATAATCCCGTGGTTAGTACATGGGCGCAAGGGGGCAGACTTGCTGTTCTTTGCACCTGAAGTTTGTGGCTTCATTTATGACTGACTAACTCCACACTCTTTCTTCTAAATATGTTGGACTTTTAACATGAACAACACCGTGATCAATAGGAAGCCTGCACCCCTGTGGAAACTTGGAGTGCGTTCGTGTGTTGTCGATGTCATTCTGGGCCTACGCTGGGGGTTTCCCAATGCCTTTCGCTAGGAAGGGAAGGAACCAGCTTCTTGGGCTAACTACAAAAATGACTCTGTGTTTTAGGCGTAGAAAAAGAGACGTGCCAGAAGATGGAGAAAGATGGATCTGCCGTGCCTGTAAGTTCCTAAGCTTTGCGGGTGAGGGGGGCGTTAAGTGGAGCTCAGGTTTTTTTCAGCATTTGTTTTGAGGCTCATTTTAAATCTTTAAATAAATTGTGGCCATTGTTTGGTGATGGGGATGAAATATAAATAAAACACAGCTTCCACACTTGAGGGGCTCACACTAGCGCATGTGCAATTGACACTTGATGTAGCTAGTCTGAAGGAGATGTCCTGTGAGTGTAAAATAACAACCAGTGTTTGATGACTTGCATAAAAAGAAGGGAGGCAAAATGTCTCTAACTTTATATGGATTACATGCTGAGATGATAATGTTTTGGGTTAACTAAACTATATTATTAAACTGAATGTCACCTGCTTCTTTTTACTTTTTTTCAATGTGGTTGCTGAGGATTTTTAAATTGCATATGGCTTGCATTATATTTATTTTAAACAGCACTGGCAACAGGTGCAGAATGGACACAAACCACACCTGTGGTGAAGGTTGTACTAGAGTGTGTTCCTAGGGGCTGTGGGAGCTGACTGGTTGCGTGGCAGGTGGCAGGAAAGCTGAAGCTGTGCTGATGAAAAACAAAAAACTTAAAGAACTCTAGAATAGATAGATATTTTTCTTACTAAGAAAATCAAGTTAACAGAATGGTCAAATTCTTGATAACACAAAGGCCATGGGAGGCACAAGAAAGTTAGTTCCTAGAGATGGGGATTCTGGCTTAGAATAATAAACATTCACAAAAGACAGACTTTAAAAAGTATTAATTTAGAATCGGAAATATAACAACAAGGTGAACCAAATATGTTTGCCTAACATAGTACATTATCTTCCTGTGGACAATTACATGGGAAGCAAGACTGTGGGAAAGCCTCTTGATGATAGACATGGCACAGGAAGTTAACAGAATGATCAGTGTCCAGGGGTTATCCACAGCAACATTTATTATGCCATCACTTGTGGATCAGGAACCCTGGGGCTGCAGGCAAGGGATAGACCTGTGCTGCGGTCACCTCCAGGCTCCCTCAGGTGGCCATTGGCACATCTCAGATGCTCTCTGGCTGTTGACAGAGCTATCAGTTCCTTGCCACATGGACCTCCTCATGGAGCGTCTCACTGCATGGAAGTTTGGAGTCTTTTTGTAAACAAAGTGACTACCATGACTTTTACCATATTGTGCCCTACAGGCATGAGTCCTAGGTCCAGTCTGCCCCAAGGAAGAGAGTGCCGAGAGCATTAGTACCAGGAGGTGGGGTCACGGGAGCCATTTTAGAGGCTTCCCGCCACAAGTGACTCTTGGCTCTAGTGATAGGTCTGTCCCAAGATAATATTTCTTAGGAGTTTTGCACTTCTGTCAGCATAGTGGGCCACCCTCCCCCAAATGCTGCTGCAGATGGGCACTGCCAGCCTGTGGCTTTGCATTTCCCTTTTCTGTGGCCTAAGCCCAGAGTTTCTGTATTGAATGAGGTCTGGGAGGCTGTCTGCAAAATTGTGTATTTTTGAGTACTTTTTAGAGAAAGGATGATTCTATAATGATCCTGGCAAGTTTCTATCTTAGTTACCAAGAGATAGAAACATCAATGATGAGAGAGAATCATTGATGAACTGTCTCCTGCATGTCCCCCACTGGGGATCGAGCCCACAACCCGGGCATGTGCCCTTGGCTGGAATCAAACCTGGGACCCTTCAGTCTGCTGGCCAATGCTCTGTCCACTGAGCCAAACCAGCTAGGGCTAGTGTTCTGTTTTTTTCATGTAATTCTTTGGTGACTGACCACTATGGTAATTATGCTTTCTTTTGGGGGATAAGAAGAAAACTTCTCTAGGTTCTCTGTTAGACAAGCAAGACACCCTGATAATCATTAGAATAACTTTTTCCTTCAGATAGCACTGTAACTAGACTTGATTTCTCAAAAACCCTGCTGGGTTTCTTTTTGTGTGTGTGTGTGTGTGTGTGTGTGTGTGTGTGTGTGTGTGTGTGTGTGTGTTTTTCTCGAAACATGTTTTTAAAGATTGTGATCAATGTAGTAATGAGGAAATTACTGAAGGATACTTAGGATTAAGAAGCTGAAGATTAAACGTATTAAATGTACCCTCTCTCCTTCCTGTCCCCAGGGACCGTTGGAGTCCCCTGTGGAGAAGGCCCCCGTGTCCGTGGCCTGTGGAGGAGAGAGCCCCCTGGATGGCATCTGCCTCAGTGAGTCAGATAAGACAGCCGTGCTCACGCTGATAAGAGAAGAGGTAAATGCTTCCTTGTTCCACCCACTTATCGCTCCATTTCTTTGTAAAGTCGTGTGCAGCAGGCCGATTCCATCTCTGCTGGCCTTAGTCATCCCCGCTGGAAGGGATGTTTCCTGCCGTTTGTTCAGCTCAGATAAAGGGCTCCCTGTAAAGCTCCCCGCTGAGGCTGGGGTCTAACACTGTGGTGTCCTCTTTATCGTTTAGCCTTGAAATTTTAAATATAAAAAATTGCTAATTTTATGCACATGAGTTTGTAAATCAGTGCCTTTATTTTACAGAGCATATATGCTCCTACATAAAAATTGCTTAAATTCTGGACTTGCACTAATATACTATTGTTTTCTACATTCATTTATTCTTTAATTCAGCTCTCAAATACCTTTATCGTGTTTCTTGAGCAGCCTCTGTCCAAAAGTAGGTCACTGCTAGGCCTTGGGTGATCTGAAAAGTATGAATGGTACTGTTATATATTAGAAATTAGTTACCACTCTCTCCTGTTATATTTCTGTGCCATATTTATATACTTGGCTTGTGTATTACTTGGTGACTCCACCCTATTTTAAAGCAGGTGGAGCAATTTTATTTTTATAATGTGATGAAAGTAGTTAAGTACCTCTGATACATCTCTCTTAAAGTTTTAAAAAATGGCATTAAGGCCCTAGCTGCTTTGGCTCAGTGGATTGAGCATTGGCCTGCGGACTGAAGGTTCTCAGGTTCAATTCTAGCCAAGGGCACACACCCAGGTTGTGTGCTTGATCCCCACCAGTAGGGGTCGTGTAGGAGCTGCCAATCAATGATTCTCATCATTGATGTTTCTATCTCTCCCTTTCTCTCTGAAATCAATAAAAATATATTTTTTTAAAAATAGCATTGTTGGTAATAAGAGATGTCAGCTAACCCTGTTGTCAGCTTGGGTGCAGTATTGAGGAGCCCCTTTCTCCCACCCTAATCTCGTAAAAGAAAAATGACTCACCTTCCTCCTGAGAATTAAACTATGAGGTGTCTCCCTCATGGATAAAAGGAAAGATGTGTTTAGTCACTGCAGCAGATAAGCTAGCTTTTAGGATCCTGATTAAAGGCTCCAAAGTAAAACGTACCAATTAGAGAGAAGCACAGAGAAGTAAATAAAAGGAGAACTAGATGTGCCCATCCAAGCCCTGTGCAAGGTAAATGGTGTTTCAGGCAATGAATTTAGATAATTTCCTTTCCATGTAGCATGAGCATCCCCATGGGTTCTGCACAGCCTGTAGTAAGATGGATGCACTGGCTGGAAGCACTGAACTTCCAAGTCTCTTTCTGACTCTGTTTTATTAGACAATCAGAAATCTCTGCAGAAAGAGAATATGCTGGTCATGCCAACTTCTAATGCTCTGACTGTGGCACTTTTGTTTCTCATCCTAACTAAGATTGGTGCACTGGTGTCTCCTTGGGTTAAAGTGACTTTCTGTCAGATGATGCTCTGCTCTGGGTGTCTTGTCCCAATCTGTGTTCTGGGCCTACAGAGCGAGAGCCAGACCCTGGCCTGAGGTTGAATTTACAGGGATCTTAGTTACCAATTGGAATTTTCCTAGGAGATGTTCTACTCACCTTTACCCTGGTGGCTAAGTTGCCCTGGAGCATAGCATGTGGCTAAGAGTTTATTTTTCTAAATGCTTATGAGCATTAGATAGATGATGAAGTGTACATTCCTAATCTATATTGGATGTCTTGGGTAGAACTGTTGTTTGTCTTCAGTCTTAAATTTAAGCTGTAATAGATTGAGTCGGTAAAACCAAGCTTTTTTTCTATTATAATCTAGATAATCACTAAAGAGATTGAAGCAAATGAATGGAAGAAAAAATATGAAGAAACCCGACAAGAAGTCTTGGAGATGAGGTAAGATTGGAGGTTTGGGCGAGGGATTGCATGCCTTTATGCATTGTTAGATTTAGTACAAATGAAATGATGAAAATATTTGCTTATCAAAATACCAGCTATTGAGAACTTGGGGCTATGCTATTTATATCTTAATTTGTGATTGATAATATCATTTCATGAGCATTGCTCACCAGGCATTATGGTCAAATACTGTAGTTTATTTTGGGGTGTTCAGAACATTACAAGTAAGTAGAACTCACATAATTCTTATCTAACAGATTTGTAAAAATATCCCTTTGAAATACAGAGTAATAAGATGTCCTGACATTTAGTTATGGAGACAATATAATTCATAATATGTTTTAAAAACTTATCTTTATTGTTGAAAGTATTACAGATGTCCCCTTTACATAATACTTTAAAAAATCTATTCATGGTAGCGTCAAATCTCATAACCAATCATTAGATTATAAAAAGCATGTTAACAGGAAACAGAACTGATTGACATTTTAAAATGGAAAGCTTTTTATTTTGCTGCTCATTCTCTCTAAAGGAGATTTAGGAGCCCTGGATTAACTAAAGATGGCATCAAAGAAGAGGGAAAAAGCATAAATAATTTATACAGTCAGCACTTGAATGATGAGGAAATATTTTAAATAAGTCCATGCTAATTTGTGTCTCTTGTGTTATTGTTATTTTTTTAATTTTTAAAAGATGTTTTTATTGAAGATTTTTTAGAGAGAGAGGAGGGGTGAGGAAGAGAGGGAAACATAAATCAGTTGCCTCCCATATGAACCTGCAACCTGACTGGGAATTGAACTAGCGACCTTTCAGTGCATCGAGCAAAGCTCTACCAACTGAGCCACACTGACCAGGGCTATCTGTTCTTTTGAGCAATGGAGTGTAAAGCACCATTCTGGGAATGGTGGAGGAGGAACAGCCCCTGTCCTTGGAGAGCTTATAGGAGCTATTATGTGTTAAAAGCTTGGGTGCAGGGTCAAAGTGATGGGCACGACCAGTGAGGAGAGGGGGAGCCATCATTTCTTACTGATGGATCACAGGAAGAGCACCATCACTTAGGCCAACATTGTTGCATTTCGCTTAAAGGAAGATTAACATGACAGGTGATCTTTGAATAACTGAGCTGCTTTGGGGATTAGGAAAGTAAAATAAAACTTGTAAGTAAATCAGAGGGGACAGATATAAAAAATGGTGGATTGGGGCCAGGAAAGCCTGAACACAGATCAGATCTTTTAGGAAGACGCCCCCATAATGTCCTTATAGTAGTTCCCCCCTTACGTACCACCGATATGTTTCAAGACCCCCAGTAGATGCCTGAAGCTGCAGATAGTGTCGAAACATACATGTACTTTTTCCAGTACATACATATCTATGATAAAGTTTAATCTATAAATTAGACACAAGAGATTAACAATAATAACCTATAATAAAATAGAACAGTTTTAACAGTCCTATATAATAAATGCCTAATTTGCAAATCGACCGAACAGCAGAATGACAGGCCAGGGGGGCTTGTGCGTGGACAGTGCCTGGCTAGCTAAGGCAGGTGCCATTGGGCAGAGGGAGGGGACAGCAATGAGAGGGACAGTGACGGAGGGGCAATCGGGGTATGGGGCCAGCCGTCACCAACCTCCTGCAGAGGGAGGCCACTGGCGGCAGAGGAATGGGGGTCAGGAATGTGGGGAGCAGACCTAAGCTGTCAGTCTGACATCCCCCGAGGGCTCCAGGACTGTGAGAGGGTGCAGGCTGGGCTGAGGGACCCTTCTCCCTCCCCCCCTGCATGAATTTTTGTGCACTGGGCCTCTAGTATAATATAATAAAAGTTATTTGAATGTGGTTTGTCTCTCTCAAAACATTAAATTGTACTTTATTCATCTTTTCAGGTAAAGGGAACACTTTATGGCTTTTCTAAGTAAAATAAGGGTGACTTGAACACAAGCCCTATGATACTGAGATAGTTGATCTGATAATTCAGATGGCTAAGTGGCTAACAGGCAGGTAGCATATGCAGCTTGGAGACGCTGGACAAGGATGATTTATATACCAGGCAGGCCTGAATGGGGTGGTGTGTGACTTCATCACACTAGAACGGTGCAAAATTTAAAGCATATGAGTTATTTACTTCTGGAATCTTTCATTTAATATTTTTGGACTGTGGTTGACTGAAGGTAACCGAAACTGGAAAGTGAAGCTATGGGTAATGGGGGGCTACTGTAAGTTAATTTGTAAAATACTGATTTGTCTAAGCAAACCTAAATCTATTGCCTGGATGTCATTTCTTTGCCTGGAGGCAAGGAAAAAGTGAAGGTAGTTGTTTCTACAAATAGAATGAAGGCTTGTTAAACATAAAATCTTAAGAAAAACTTTTTTGAACATTAACAGATCTTATATTAACGTTAAAAAAAAAAAAAAATCCAAAGTGGATAAATGGGTTATGTAAATCTGTTAGTATTGGAAAATAATCTTACCTAATAATTGACAAACATGTAAATTGACCATGCCTCCATTATGCCCATCAGCCAGTCAGGAGTGATATGTAAATTAACCCAACAAAGATGGCGGTTAATTTTCATACACAAGTGCGGGGCAGGATGCAAGCATTCAGCCCCACACCCAGTCTCTCAGGGCCTTTGGGCAGGGTGGGAAGGTGGGGCAGGAGCAGAAAGAGGCGGCTCTGGGGCTGGGCCGTAGTGGAAAGGCAGTGCCGACAGCCAGGGAAAGGAAGGCCCATATTAGCACGAATCTTCATGCATCAGGCTTCTAGTACTGCATCAGGCCCAGTGCACAGATTTGTGCACATTGAAAGGAAATTAATTAGAAGAAATATTTTAATGTCACCATTTGCCCTTTCTCTATAATAGAAGTGTCAACCAAATTCATGATTGACAATGACAGATCAAAACACACACATGTGATTGGCAGCAGCAAGAGCTTTCTATGTATTGCACATGCCCGAGTCAACGTTTATTTTTAAATTGCCAGTCAGAGTCATATGTAACGGTTGGTTAGTCACTTAGCTTTTTATAAATATAGATTAATATAATCCTATCTAATAAAAGAGTAATATGCAAATTGACCGTCACTCCAACACATAAGATGGCTGCCCCCATGTGGACACAAGATGGCAGCTACAAGATGGCCTGCGGGGGGAGGGGGGGAGGGTGTCCCTCAGCCTGCACCCTCTCCAATCTGTGATCCAGGACTGCTGGCTCCCAACCACTCACCTGCCCGCCTGCCTGATTGCCCCTAACTGCTTCTGCCTACCAGCCTGATCACCCCCTAACCACTCCCCTGCCAGCCTGGTTTCCCCTAATTGCCTTCCCTTGAAGGCCTGGTTGCCCCCAACTGCCCTCCCTTGCAGTCCTGGTCCCTCCCAACTACCCTCCCCTGCAGGCCATCTTGTGGTGACCTTGTGTGTTGGAGTGATGGTTAATTTGCATACTATTTTATTAGATAGGATTATATTAATTGTACTATTTTCCAAATGAATAGTTGTAAATCTACTTTTGTCCTACCCTATATGTTAATGTGTTTAATTGGGAAAGTATTTCTCCAACTTCTATTGTCTACAAATTCTCCTCTGATAATAATTTTATTTTTATTTTTAAGGAAAATTGTGGCTGAATATGAAAAGACCATTGCCCAAATGATTGGTAAGGAGATTTTTTTCTTAGGGAATGAGCCATAGGATCCATAGATAAATTTCAAATCAGCTTACAAACTTCACTTTGTCCATACCTTAGATACAGTTGATTCTCATTATTCGCAGTAGTTATGTTTTATGAAGTTGCCATCAACACCCAGTTAACAAACACTGAACTGTTGCTTCTAGGGAAGTACAGGCTTAGGTTCCTGCAAGCTCTGGTCACAACTGTTTTGAAATTACATAATCTTGTCCTATGTGTGCTTCTGTTTAAAGACATCTTATTTGATAAATAGTGTTGATTCATTAACATTGACCTCGAGGCCAACAGTGCTAATAGCTCATGTGTGAACAACGCTCATTGAGCATGTATCTTCCCCAGAAGGCACATCACAGCCTTCCTGCACTTAAGAACTCTAGACAGGTCTGTAGCACTACGCTTGGGAGCTTTTTTTAAAATAGCAAAATCACCAACAGAAAGCACAGACACATATACATAAAAGCATTAAGTAACTACACATATACATAAAAGCATTAAGTAACTTCTAGGGAAGTACAGGCTTAGGTTCCTGCAAGCTCTGGTCACAACTGTTTTGAAATTACATAATCTTGTCCTATGTGTGCTTCTGTTTAAAGACATCTTATTTGATAAATAGTGTTGATTCATTAACATTGACCTCGAGGCCAACAGTGCTAATAGCTCATGTGTGAACAACGCTCATTGAGCATGTATCTTCCCCAGAAGGCACATCACAGCCTTCCTGCACTTAAGAACTCTAGACAGGTCTGTAGCACTACGCTTGGGAGCTTTTTTTAAAATAGCAAAATCACCAACAGAAAGCACAGACACATATACATAAAAGCATTAAGTAACTGTGGAAAGGGCACTTGTTTACAGTAGAAAGCGAGAAGGCGTCACCTTTCTCAACCTCAGCTGTTCCGCATATGTCTGTGAATGACCAGGAATGCACCAGAAGTACTGATTTGGGGGTTACAAATAAATTTTAGTAAGTAGGCAAATTCACAGATAGGGAATCCATGAGTGATGGGCATCAGCTGTAGCTGGGAGCTGGCAAACACTTGGGATTCTGTGAAAAGCCCCTCCCCCCCCCAGTACCTAGAACACGGGCAGCCTAGGCACATCGCTCGTACCCCAGGTGGTGCAGTGTGCTCACTATACTGCCAGGTGTACCTTCCGATGTCAGACCCATGGTGCCTTTCCAGAATGGCAGTGGTTGACCTTTCTGCACTGGATTTAGAACTTCTGGCCAGTGTTGTAAGGACTGCTCCTGAAATCGGAGTCAGGTCTGTCTACACTTAAGCACTGAGGTGGTATTTTTCTACCATACTCATCACCTAACACCGTCCCAGCACGTGGCCTTTGCCACAGCTGTTCCCCTCATCTGCTTGGAATCTGTTCAGATCTCTCCTGAGTGAGGTCACTCTCTATAAAAAGGGAAACCCCCCCTGCTGCCCTGCCTTGATTCCCCATCACTTGTCACCACATCTCTCCCCAACAAAACGTAAGTGCTTGAAAGTGAGGACTTTGTAATGTCCACTCTAGGTCCCACCAGCGAGAACGCTGCTTATTAGCTCAGGAGGGCAGCTGCTAACTGCTTGTTGATTGAATGTGCCTTTGCTTTTGATTGTGATTCACAGAAGATGAGCAAAGGACAAGTATGACCTCTCAGAAAAGCTTCCAGCAACTGACCATGGAGAAGGAGCAGGCCCTGGCTGACCTTAACTCTGTGGAAAGGTCCCTTTCTGATCTCTTCAGGAGATATGAAAACCTGAAAGGTGTTCTGGAAGGATTCAAGAAGGTAGCTTGTCCTTTCTTCTGGAATCTCTTCGCTGCGGTGGTTGATTGTCAGATGTGTATGCCAGAGTATGGGTAGCCTTTTAAATTGGGTTTTGGGGCCCCTATGGACCTGTATCTTCCGTTCCAGGGAAGCTGGAGGATCCCCTCCCTCCTTTTCTTTGTGGGTGGCATGTCTTGGTCATTCATCTCCTGGGTTAGGCCATAAACCCCAGACACATTTAGAGTGTGGCATGGAGTATAAGAACTGTGGAATCCTCGGACTTTAGGAGAATTCTAGAAATGTTCATTTTGATAATGCACCAATTCAATATTAGTAAAAGTAAAAGGGATTCTAGAGATAGCCCTGAGAAGTTTAGGTTGCATATTCTAGAGAAAAGTAATGTTTCAAATTTAGGTGTATTGATTTGATTTACCGTCAATGAGATAACATTTATAGCAGTGAACATTCTTTTTGACCATATTAAAATAAAAATGAGACTGGCTAATTTATCTATGACAATCAGATTGACGTTCAGAATTGAATAACTGCTTTCCTAAAGCAGGTGTACTAGTGTAACTAAACCTTGCTGTATGAAAATTAATATATACCCCTTACCTATACATGAAGAAATTATCTAGAATTTCTTCGGTAGATTTATTTGTGCCTGTTTCATATAACCATATAGTATAATTTAAAGGCTTCTGAATTAATTGGGTTTTCTTGTTTTTTTAAAAAATGAGGACTCTGATACATGGTGTGTCACCAGCAGAAGAAAAAAAAGAAAATGATCTGTTTCTTTTATTTTCACTTGTCATTTGAGAACAGAATGAAGAAGCTTTGAAAAAATGTGCTCAGGATTACTTAGCCAGAGTTAAGCAGGAGGAACAGCGGTATCATGCTTTGAAGATCCACGCAGAAGAAAAACTGGACAAGTAAGAGCTTGCACATAAGAATTTTGTTTTTCATGATGTGAAGATTGATGGAGGCAAGGAAGAAATCACTGTTTTGCGACTCTAGATGTGTGTGTGTGTGTGTGTGTGTGTGTGTGTGTGTGTGTTTACTTTTTTTGAATAGGTAGAATCTTCCCATGTTCTAATATTAAAAAGAATAAGATATACAGTATCTCCCTATACTCCATGCCCATTCCCTTGGGTTTCTTCCTCTTTCCTCTCCTAGGGTCATCACTATTTTATACTCCCAGATGCTCTTTTACCCTCATCTTTTTTCTCCCCCAGCTTTATTGAGACATAATTGACGTATAATATTGTAAGTTTAAGGTATACTGTGTGTCAATTTGATATACTTACGTATTACACCATGATAGTGTTAGCCAACACCTCCATCTCAGTAATTACCATTTTTTAATGTCGTGAGAATCTCCTTTTTTATACAAATGATAGCATATCTTGCTTTTCTCTTTTAGCAATGTATTTTGGAAATCTTCCTATATCAATCCACGAAGAGCTTCCTTACTTTTAAGACAGCCGTGTGGCATGTTCCACTGTTGGAATGTTCCTCCCTATTGGACCTTCATGTTATTTAAAATCTGCTACCAACAGTGCTGCAATAAGCAACTTTTTATGATTATCATTAGGCAAGCATGGGAGTTATCTGTATGATAGGAAAGGGATGCTGGGCCAAAGAATATAGGAACTTATACTTATGATAAGTATACATTTGCCCTCCTTAGACTTCTATTAATTTATATTCCTACACAATGTATGAGTGTCTGTTTTTCCCTACAGCTTTGCCAACAGGTCAGATTTTTGGTTTTCTGCAAATACAATAGATGAAAAATGGAATTTCAGTGAAGTTGGTTGAGTTTTTTTTGTTGTTCTGGTTTTTTTTTTTTTTTTTTTTGGCAAGCAACAGAACATTTATTTTATTCATTGTAGTTTTGATTTATGTTTATTTTATGAGTGAAATTGAACATATTTTAGCAGCTGTCCATACAGATATTTACTTTACTATGAATGACTGTTCTTTGCCCATTTTTCTATTGTCAGTTTATATATGTGTTACTATAGGCATTATCTTTACTAATAAAAGGGTAATATGCAAATTGGTCAGAACACCCTCACAGTAAAGACCAAACAGCAGGCTGTGTGGGGTGACCAGGCTGGCAGGGGGGTTAGTGAAGGACAACCAAATGACTGAACAGCAGGCTGTATGGGGCGATCAGGCCAGCAGTGGGGGAAGGGGGCAGTGAGGAGTGACCAGGTTGGAGGAGGGAGGTAGTGGGGGCAACCAGGCTGGCAGTAGGGGGCAGTAAGGAGCAATCAGGCCAGCGGTGAGGTAGTTAAGGGTGATCAGGCTGACAGGGGCACAGTAGGGGCGATTCAGCAGGCAGGCAGGTGAGCAGTTAGGAGCCAGCAGTTCCGGATTATGAGAGGGATGTCTGACTGTCGGTTTAGGCCCGATCCCTGAGAGGTCCTGGATAGGAGAGGGTACAGGCTTGGCTGAGGAGACCTATCCCACCCCTCCCTGTGCATGAATTTGTGCACCAGGCTTCTAGTACTTATTTGTTAAGGATGACAGCCCTTTGTGATATGAGTGGTAAATAATTTTTCCTGCTTGTCAGTTACCCTTTGGCTCTGCTTGCAGTAGTTTTGATATGCAGACATGTATTTTTGGTAGTGAAATTAGCAGTCATTTTTCTTACAGTGTCAGAATTTCCTGTCATAGGAAGAAAGATTTCCCCCGGGCTGAATATAAAAACTTCTCCTATGTTTTCCCTTTAGTACTTTTATGGCTTAATTTTTAAATTCTTAAATCCAACACATTTGGAATTTATCCTGGGGAATGGTATGAAGGATGCATCCAACTTTATTTATTTATTTATTTATTTATTTTCTATGTTCTTTTTTTTTTTTTTTTTTTAATATATTTTATTGATTTTTTACAGAGAGGAAGAGAGAGGGATAGAGAGTTAGAAACATTGATGAGAGAGAATCATCAATCAGCTGCCTCTTGCACGCCCCCCACTGGGGATGTGCCCGCAACCAAGGTACATGCCCTTGATCGGAATCGAACCCGGGACCTTTCAGTCCGCAGGCCGATACTCTATCCACTGAGCCAAACCGGTTTTGGCCAACTTTATTTTTTAACTAAAAAGTAATACATACATTTTGCTCTCTGTCTTCCTACTTGTAAAACCTTTTAAGTTCCCCTTTCCCATTGCCACTCCCAGAGGTTCTGCTGTCAAAATTTATTGTGTACCCTCATAGTCTTTGTGCCTTTACAAATACTGCCCATAATAGCTTTGACTTTCTAAATTAAAAAGTATAATGGAGGCAGCATATTACAAAGTTTCCTTTTTTATTTGATAATATAGCATGGCCATTTTTCATGTCAGAACTTACAGTGTAAATTCACCATTGTGCCAAGTGGGAATGTTGCTGTGAATGGGTTACTAACAGGGAGGGCACTGCTGGCCCGGAGGGTGTATACATGTTAACCTGTAGTGGTTACTATCACATTGCCCTCCACAGAGATGGCCAATTTTCATCCCCCAGTGAGCCTGTTTCCTTGCATCTCAGCCAGTAAGGGAAAGATCATTCTTGTTAATTTTCCCCAGTCTGACGGATTTTAAGACTTATCACCTTAATTTGCATGTCTCTGATTACTAGTGAGTTTTTACCATCCTTTTGTCAGTTAAGTGGCTATTTATCAACTGACACTTATGTTTTTTTAAAAGTTTCTTTTGCCCCACAATAATAAAGTCACTTTTAGGACTGTGTCGTAAATGAGATGGTTAGTATCCTGCCTCTTTAGCTGTGATGATCTCAAGGATGATCCTATCTGCTATTGTACAGGGTTAAAAACCCCACAAAATTAATTTGATTGTTGTAGAAACTCATGTGGATTCATTTTCCAGTGACATGAATTTTGAAGGACACCATGGCCTTTGAGATTAACTCTACCATTGGTTTGCACCATGCAAATTTGCTGAGCAGTTGTGTGTAAATTGAGTGTTTACCAGTTAAAATTGAATTATTTAGGTCATCGATTCCTTTTGTTTTTCTCTTGTCATGAAGTCAGTTCATTTAGGTTGTTTCAGAGATGTCAGTGGTTACTGTCCTGACTCTTTTACAGTGACTGATGACTAACCACGTGCTTTTTTGTCCCTTTATTCTACAAACAAAACCTAAACAGAGCCAATGAAGAGATTGCTCAGGTTCGAACAAAAGCGAAGGCTGAGAGTGCAGCTCTCCACGCAGGACTCCGGAAAGAGCAGATGAAGGTGGAATCCCTGGAAAGGGCCCTTCAGCAGAAGGTACGGAGAGGGGTGTGACCACAGAGACCTAGGTGTCTGTCCTTCACAGCGGCCAGCTTGCGGTGGATCTGGAGGAAAGAGGCCTCGCCTTTTTGCCCAGACACTTTAGTCCAGTTCCTTGAGCCAGTTCATGGGGGAAACACACAGGCAAACCAGGAAATTCCCAGGTACATTGGTGGGAACTGTCCACAGGCAGGGCTCAGAGAGGAAGTGGTATTAACTGAACTTCAGGGACTAAACACTGTTTAGTTAGGTCTTAGGCTCCCTTTTTAAAAAAGTTCTCTCTCTGTGTGTGTGTGCATGTGTGGTGGTGTTGTTTTAATGTAATATAAAAGCCATCTTCCCCTTGATTATAATTTTACCTTGCAGGGCATGTTTGGCAACACCTAGAGATATGTTTGGTTGTTATGACTAGGAGATGCTACTGGCATCTAGTGGGAAGAGGCCAGAAATGCAGCCAAACATCCTACAGTGCACAGAACAGCCCCACAAGGAAGACTGGCCCAGCCCCAGTGGCGGGTGGTGGAGCAGCTGCTGTAGGTGAATAGTGCTAACAGTGGGCCCTCTTGCTTGCTGCTCACTGCTCGCTGCTCAGCCATCCTCAGACTTCAGTTTTTGTCTGCCTCCAGTGTTTTCCTTCCTATGTCTCCAGTTGTGTATTCGTGCCTGTGGCCTCCATTAAGTTAGGACAGCGTTTTTACCATGGCTTCTGACAAAAAAATCAGAGTTCCTGGGATATGAGGACTCAAGAATCCCAGGTCCCTGGAGATGTTAATGGATTGAGTGAGGCCCAAATGCTTGTGTTTTTAACAGGTACCCTGGGTAATTCCTAGGATAACAAGAAAATTTGAGAAGTAAGGGGTTCATGGACAAGCTGCAGAGGGCCAGTGACTAACCTCACCCCCTACTTTGTTTAAATATAACCTTTCACACATGAGCATTTTCCAGGGGGAAAGGTATAGTGCTCTCCTTTCTTCCAAGGAGAAAAGATGTAGAAAGAGCCACGGAGTTAGAGTAGAGCCAGTCTGGGGACTATTGGTTATCATTTCCTGTATCTCAGTACACCGATGACCTGCACAGTCGTATCATTTGTCTTTCAGAACCAAGAAATCGAAGAACTGACGAAAATCTGCGACGAGCTGATTGCCAAGCTGGGAAAGACTGACTGAGTTTCCCCCATTCGCTCAGTGGATCTGCATTTGGCTGCTTCTGTCGTGACCACAGTATCTTGCCTTACCCAGGAATTGTTGCCCCTTTGCAGAGAAGAAAACTTTGAAAAAGCACATGCCCACTGCTGCCTGTCCTGCTTTGCTGCCGGCGCACAGCCTGGAAGAGCCCTGGAGTGGTGCACCGACGCCGCAGAAGAGCCTGGTGTCCGCCCAGCGCCGCTTGTGGTCCAGTAGACAGGCTGCTGAGTTGGGTTTGTGATTTCTCTGTATGAATTCATTTTTTTTTTTTTTACAGCTGTGTACTTTCCTTATTAATACCTTTTCAATCACACCATAACATGAATAGCATATTCTCCCATACTTCAACGATTTCCATTGCCACATGTAATTCACTTCAGAGGCATATAGGTTCTGAAAACTAATGTTCTCAGTAATTGCGAAGAGCAGCTTTTTAGGAACTCTTCCTGCTTTACCATTTAGAAGCTACTCATGGTGAGGAAGCCCCCACACCTTTTGCTCCCTGGAGAACTCTGAGCTAAACTTAATTCTTTCAGTTCTATGTCTCATACAGATAAGCAGTTAGGAACTTTGCACATGAGCAGGAATCAGTCAGATGCAGAAGTGGAATTTTTAGGACCGTTCATATATTAGGGCAGAAGCACCACTGGGATTCCTATGACGATGAATGTGTGCTTGGTGCCTTTATTGCACATGCCAAAGGTCAGTTCTGGAGAAAGCAGAGCATGCTATAAATGAGCTAGAGAAGTCTCTTGACCTCTTTGTACCTTTGTTTCCTTATCACTTGTGTAAAAGCTCCATCCCATGCCAGGCCTGAAATGTTCCAAAGCTCACTTTTGTTATTAAATTGCAACCAAGATTTATATATTGCAAAAAAGGAGTGCTGGAAACACATTCCTTTCAATAAATTCTGTTTTATTGAAGGATAAATCTAAATATTGTAGGGAAAGCAGGCCTTCAAATGAACCCTTAAATAATCCTCTCAAATTATTTCCACTGAGATTTACCGGCATCTCCCCCACCATCCCCTCACAACCATTCTGGTGGGAGGGAGGGAGAGGCCTGCTGCAGCCCTGGGTCCAACCCCACTCCCCATACCCCTTTTAAATACCCACCTCCTTCCCCTTCGTCCTAACATGGCGCTACCACAACCTGACTTCATTCATTTTGAAGTCCACTTTGCTTTTCTAAGTGTGCTAAATTTGTGATTTTATGGCTACTATTTGGGATCATCTCCTGTTCACCATGTCTCTAATTTTTTTGTATGTGACATATTTATTTCATCTTTTAAATTTAATTTTCAGTATTGGTGGTTTTATTTGAGGAGGTAATTTGGCTTTTGTACTTTTAATTTGTAAATAAGAATGAGCTCTGAGTACCCATTTACATACATATACAAACACTCACATATATTTACATATGCTGCTGTTTTCCCCTAAGTATAGTCAAATAACCTACAGAAGAGCCTATTTCCATACATGTAAAAACTTATTTTGGAATAGAGTCTTAGCTCAGAATGCCAGCCTCAGGATTTTGGAGGATTGAACATGTGACTCATGACCCTGGCTCAGGTTTCATGTCCAGGGAAGACAAATGTTACCATAACATTTGTTGCTGGGTATTGGATACTCCTCGGCCCTCTGGGTGGGTCTGCAAGCTGACGGTGGCTGCTTCCTGCAGGGACAGCTGAGTGGGGTTTCCTCGGAACTGGGTCTGGGAACTGGATGTGGGTAGGCTGTCCTAGAGCCACTTCTTTTCTGCTTCACTTGTTGCTACAAAACCAGTATTTCCTCTTGATCATTTGAAATCCACTGAGAAAATCTTGTAAAAGGTTTAGATGATCTTATAATTAAAAGGTGACTGTAATCCCATCAGCAAGTAAAGGGGAAGAAACAGTTTTTTCACAAATGGGAATGTCTTGTTCTTCGGATATTTTCTTTTGAGGCAAAAAAAACAAAACAAAACAAAAAAAAAACTTTCAAACGTAAGACAGAATTTTTAACAAAACGGGCAGTAAAAGTCATGTGAACCACTCTGAAAATCAGCACATTTGGAGTGTTTTAAACAGAAGCTATTTGACTAGCGGAGGAGCGGAGTGCAGGGAGCAGGCCCGCACACACAGAATCCACTTCCTCAAGCTCTTCCTGGGCTTGCTCTGGAGAGGAGAGGCTATTAATCCCCAAAAGGAAAATTCCCAGCATTTGATAGGCAAAACCAGACCCTGCAGGTGTTTTAAAGCATTCGTCTTAACCTTCCCACCTGAAGGTCTTCATGGTCACATGCACTGTGTTCAGTACCTGTAAGTTTTCGTGCTTTTCCTGTAAAACTATTGCATGATCCACCTTCACAATGAATTGTGCCAGGTGGAGAGCCTCTGTAGATCCTAAAACTCTAATTCCCCTTTAGAAGTGTACTGCTCACAGGCGTGCAATCTTTAGCCCCAAGGAGGTCAATAATGCCTTTTAAAGCCAGAGTCACATTTATCAATATGCATTTACACAATTGGTGCTTAGGTTGTATTTTAAAGCCTATGGTCTTTACCACTTTGTACAAAAAAGAACAACAGAAGTGGTGTGTGGTTGGAGAGGTGAGGGGACAATCATTTGGGCTTTGAAAACAGTCCCTGGGTAAATGTGAGTGCTGTGCTGTAGTTTAGCTCAGTGTCTCCAGGTGGCGTCGCTGATTTCCTCCTTTAGCCGTCTCCTACCAAGAAAAGCCACTGCATTTGCAGAAACATTGCTAAACCTTTTTGCTGCTGTATTTTGGTGACATGTCCATGTTTACTTGCTTTCTGTTTGTTGATCTGTTTTAAGCATGGAAGGCTTATAGATGGTGTTCATCGTAAATCCTAGTCCTCTTTTTAGGTTTCTTGTGTATATAAAAAAGATAGCTATATGTTAAACAGGTGACGACAATCCTTCCCCAGCACACTGGTAAAAGAGATTCCTTAAAAACTAGACCTTAGAGCAGTGGTTCTCAACCTTCCTAAGGCCAAGACCCTTTAATACAGTTTCATGTTGTGGTGACCCCCAACCATAAAATTATTTTCGTTGCTACTTCATAACTGTAATTCTGCTACTTTTATGAATCATACTGTAAATATCTGATATGCAGGATGTCTTAGGCGACCCCTGTGAAGGGGTCGTGACCCACAGGTTGAGAACCGCTGCCCTGGAGTGAAGTTGCTGCACAAGGAATACGAGAGGACTCGGTTTAAGTAATATTTGCCTCTGGCCTCTCAGCCATGACCGTTAGAAAAACATGTTCTTCCTTCTAATGTAATAGGTGGACATTCTCCAACGAGAATAAAAATGTAGCTGGCAAGTCAAGAGACTATACTGGACAGAATAAAGTATGTTTGTTTATTTTTTTTTTAAATAAATAATAACAACACAAAACAAACCAACTCCAAACTTTTAGAACTCTGGAGTAAGAAGACAGTCTAGAGTTGGCCCCTAGAGAGCCAGAGTCCTTGTTAGGCCCCAGTAACCCTGTTACAAAAGTGGAAAGACAGGAATGCAAGCTGCTGGCCTAGATTGTAGTTGGGAAGTCTTCGGTGATCTTGTTGAGACTCTGGATCCAGAGACATTGCTTAAATTGTTTACTTTGCCAGAGTGTAGATAGTTCATCTTAAAGTATTTTAGTTGGAGACTGAGCAGTGTGTTGCTAGGTTGGCCAGTTGGTCTGTTACAGTCAGACCTCTTGAGAGGAACTATGTTGGGAGAAGCTCCTGGAGGCCTGCCCACACCTTCTGTCCTGGAAAAATTGAGAAGCCTGGTTTTCTCTCGTGGTTTCCAGCTTCTTCAGATCCAGCCCAAATTAGGAAGTGCAGAAACACATCGGAGGGTCTGGCTGTCTTCCAGTATGATATGGAATCTAAGGAAAGATTTATGTTTGGTTTTGAGGGATGGTTCAAGTTGAATTTTTCCAGCCGGTTACCCTTTCCACCTGTCCAAGGCTTTGTGCAACTCGCACACTAATACCTAGACCTTGGTTGGACAGCCCTGAGTTAGTACTATTTGTGAACAGGGGGAGTAAACTGCCCCCAATGTTCCTGGGCTGTCTGTCTGAAGCAGCCAGAGGGAAGCGCTCACTTTGAATAAAAGCAAACAAGGGCTTGCTGGGGTTTGGAGCTCACCATGGAATTTTTAACGAGTAGGCATCGGTAAACTTGTGTGCACTCGTTGGAAGTGATCCAGCACATCCTTTTCTAGTGGTGTAAAAGCCCCAAAGCTCCCTCTATATTTCCTTTTGGTTTTTCACTACAATTAGCAGTTGTCTCGCTGAACTGTCTTTTCATTGTGGTTTTGTGACCATGTGAGCTTGCTCTTGGACTTGGTTTCTCACTTTATCCTCTTATTAGGAATAGAGAAACTGGGTGTTAAAAGATAAAATGATTCAGGCAAAGGATTTTAAAGTAAAGATGTATATATTCCGAAGAATTTTAAAGATAGGAGATTATTACTTGCTTATTAAAATACAAATATAATCTGGGAATCCCAGAATGTCAGGCCAAAGGTCTAAGAAGTCATTTTCTTCAGAGATGTTAATAGAAATATTTTGAGGAGACTTCTGTCCAAAAAGGTTTGGCCTCCAGATTCCAGTGATTTTTAGAAAGCAATTTATCACTGAAACCTTGAGTCTCCCATAGTAAAGCTAAAGAAATCAGACTTCTCTCTAAGGATCTCCTTTGGACGATAACATAAACAGCAGCATTTCTAGGGAAGACTCTCCCTGGTGCCTAGTTAGCATTCTGGAGATTAAAGATTGCACTTTTCGTAGTTCTTTGTCCAAATGCAGTCCCATTTCTGTGCCTCTTAGCATGCAGTTAGATTTGGACAAACAAGATTCCTAAGGAATGACTTTATTAACTATAATATGGTTACAGCTATTACATATATATATACACAGATGTATATATACATATATATATATATTCAGATTATAGTTATAATATAAAGTTGTTGTGTGCGATGCCGACAGTCTTAACTCATTTGGAGGAGGCCAGATGTGGAGCTGAGGTGTGGTTTGAACCTTCCCTGTATCGATTCTTTAGAACTATAAAGATGCCACTTTCTCCCCCCTCTGCCTTTCAGTGGTGTCTGAAATATACTCCAAAACACATTTCCAAGTCACATGGTTAACCAATATTCTATATTAAAAATTTCCAAGTGGACCTATGAAAATCTGAACTCGGACCCACTCTCCCCCCTTCTAGATACAGGGCAGGTGTCACCATACCTACAGCCTCAGTCCTGTCCTTCCTACCCAATGGGACAGGACCCAGGCATTTCTTTAAATCTCAGAGGTGGCAGTAAACTTTCCAGTGTTGCTGTTAGCAAGTGTGTTGCCAGTAGATACCCATGTGTACTAATGTGCCAACAAGTAAAAGTTAATTGCACATCTGCTTCCACTGTGTCCCCACGGGTGCCATTTAGTGTGTGAGAGCCTCATCTCGAGGAATGGACGCTGCATTGACTACTGCTATCAGGATTGTGCTGTGTGGAGTAATCATCTACATAAATTTTATATGCACAATAATTTCCCTTTTATATGTCAGGTAAATATTTGTAAAAGTTATACTCACACAAATGAAATTATTATAATGATTACTAATATATTTTTTCCATGTTTCATTGCCTGAATAAAAACTGTTTACCACTGTTACATTTGGGTGTGTATATGCATTTTTTTTCCTGGTTATAGTGGTTTTTGTCCCCAAGTGAAAATTTATGACAACTTCACTTTTATGAGCTCCATTTTACAGTTTAAAAATAGAAAAGATGACATTTTTTCACTGCACTCATTTTGTGGGCTTTTATGCATTCGGTTGGGTGTGTAATTAAAAACAAAACGAACAAACTTTGGAATTCAGGCCTTAACATATAAATTTCCACGCTTTTGCATCTGTGCAAACAAAGTAATTGGATGCTTGTTGGTTTTGCTTCCAGACTTCTTGTCTGCCTTGGCATTTCTCAAGTCGTAAGAACCTAAGTCATCCCAAGAAGCCAGCGCTGTGTAAACATTGCAGAATGGCCCACAGAAAATAGTTGATATTTTATGTCTCTTCTAGGTTAATACCAGGAAAATCTTTTTCAGTACCAGCTAGGCCAGTGGTCAGCAAACTCCGTCACCAGAGCCAAATATCAACAGTACAATGATTGAAATTTCTTTTGAGAGCCGAAAATCAACTTTTGCACATGGGCCACGAAGTTTCAAGGGCACAGATATTTTGTGCAAGAGCCACACTCGAGGGACCAAAGAGCTGCATGTGGCTCACGAGCCGCAGTTTACCAACCACGGAGCTAGGACAACTCTGCTTAAAGGGTTGGGAGACTGGGCAGGGCATTGTATATGTTATATTGTAGGAAAAGATAAGAGGCTCCATTTTACAGCCTAGGTGGGGATCCACTGTCACTTGCTGACCATTGGCTGCACTGTAAGACCTTATATCCTATAAAGTTCCAAAAAACGTTTTTCACTAGTGTGCTCCTTGAACCCTCAGGAGGGGACTCCTTAACGTGACTGGAGGAGGTGGCGCTGCCATTTACCGAATCCTAAAGACAGTAGAAATTGCATCATTTTCTAAGAAGTTAGGGGAAGGATAAGATAGAAATTACCTTTCTGCTCCCTTACAGAATTTTATTGTTAGACTAGAGGCCCAGTGCACGAAATTCGTGCACTGGTGTGATATATGTGTGTGTGTGTGTGTGTGTATGTGTCTCAGCCCAGCCTGTGCCCTCTCACAGTCCGGGACTCCTTAGGGGATGTTTAGGAACCCTTGCTCCTTACCGCTTGGCTCCTTACTGCTTGCTGCTCCTTGCCGCTTGGCTCATTGTTCCTTAGTGCTGTCATGGAGGCAAGAAAGGCTTCCAACACTGCTGCTGCACTTGTCAGCTGTGAGCCTGGCTTCTGGCTGAGCTGCACTACCCCTGTGGGAACGCACTGACCACCAGAGAGCAGCTCCTGCATTCAGCGTCTGGCCTCTGGTGGTCAGTGTGCATTATAGTGACTGGTCATTCTGGTCATTCACCATAATGGTAGCTTAGACTTCTATTATATAGATAATATGAGACTACTTAATGTCACATTTTTACAAATAGGGAATCATGGGATCATCTTAGTGCATGGCCGTCAGTATTTTAATAAGAGAAAATATGACAGATATCAAAGTGCATTGCACAAGTTAAGGATAAGTTACTGCTCCATAAAATTGGTTTCAGATATAAATATGTATGTACTAGGTCATGATGAACAGTAATTTCCTGCTATGGCCAGTGGCCAAAGTATGAACAAAACTTGATCTACTAATGTTAGTCATTCTATAATTGAGGAAAAGGGTCAGAGAGAGAGGTGATGTAGCCAAGAATCTGTAGTTTGTATATAAGTGGATAGTATCACCCTCAGTCAAGATGAGCAACAAAACTAATGGCTACTTAGTCTTTTTCATGCTTTTTAAATCCATTTCTCCAGATTTAGATAGTATTATATTTATATTACTAGAGGCCTGGTGCACGAAATTTGTGCATGGGGGGAGAGGGTGTCCCTCAGCCCAGCCTGCACCCTCTCCAATCTGGGAATCCTCGAGGGATGTCCGACTGTTCATTTAGGCCCCATCCCAGTAGGATCAGGCCTTAACGGGCAGTCGGACATACCTCTCACAATCTTGGATTGCTGGCTTCCAACTGTTCACCTGCCCGACTTCCTGATTGCCCCTAATCACTTCTGCCTGCCAGCCTGATCACCCCCTAACCACTCCCTGCCAGCCTGACTAATGCCTAACTGCTCACCTGCCAGCCTCTTTGACCCTAATTGCCCTCCCCTGCAGGCTTGGTTCCCCCCAACTACTCTCTCCTGCAGCCCTGGGTACCTCCCCCCTACCCTCCACAATTGCCCTTTCCTGCAAACTTGATCACCTCCAACTGTCCTCCCTTGCAGACCTGGTCCTTCCCAATTGCCCTCCCCTGCTGACCATCTTGTGGCGGCCATCTTGTGTCCACATGGGGACAAGATCTTTGACCACATAGGGGCAGCCATCTTGTGTGTTGGAGTGACAGTCAATTTGCATATTACTTTTTTATTAGGAGTATAGGCCCAGTGTACAAAATTCATGCATGGGGGTGGGGGTGTCCCTCAGCCTAGCCTGCACCCTCTCAAATTGTTGAGCGTCTGTCCTTTGGTGGTCAGAACACATATAGTGACCAGTCATTCCACTGTTTGGTTGATTAGCATATTAGTTTTTTATTATATAGGATGATTTTGTTAGTTTTATTAGACATCTAAACATAACAAAGCTTTGGAAACAGGAGTTACCTAAATTTATTCTTTAAAAAAAAAAAAAAAAAAAAATATATATATATATATATATATATATATATATATATATATATATATTATTGATTTTCTTACAGAGAGGAAGAGGGATAGAGAGTTTGAAACATCAATGAGAGAGAAACATTGATCTGTTGCTTCCTGCACACCCCCTACAGGGGATGTGCCCACAACCAAGGTATATGCCCTTGACCAGAATCGAACCTGGCATCCTTGAGTCAGCTGGCCTATGTTCTATCCACTGAGCCAAACCAGTTGGGGCTAACTTTATTCTTTTAATTGAGATTGGTAGGAGGTGGAGTGGAGGATTAGCTGAAGATGGATCCCCATGTTGGGGTGATTGAGCTAGTAAGTAGGAAATGGAAGTCTGTGTGTTCCAGACAACTTTGGAATTTCCCAGACCTATACCAGCCACAAAAGGTTTCTGTGACCTATTTTTCCTTTGCCAAAATGTGTACATCCTTCAAAGTTTGGTTCCCATAGAAATACATATGCAAGAACAGATTGAAGATATAATTCAGTTAACAGAAATTATCTAGCCAATTTAAAGCAAAGGCTAATTGACGTTTGAGTTTCCTATGTTCTGGGTGTCTTTACAGATATGTGAAATTAGCAATTCCATGTAGATGGAATTGGTGTTTGTTTACCTGTGTGTGTGTGTGTGTGTGTGTGTGTGTGTGTGTGTGTGTGTGTGTGTTCATGCTCCTGTGACACAAGCTGGCACACACCAGTGTGCTCCCAGATTCATTCAGTTCATGCCCAGCAAGGATGGCCCCCTGTATCATCTGAATTTCTGGAAGTAAATTAAATTGACAAAATGTGTTGAGTTCTTAAGATGTGCAAACTCGTAATCACAGTGATTTAACGGTAGGCTCAGAAAGGCATTTTTGTTCTAGACATCAAAAATGACAGACAGCACACTTAGCTAATTTGGTTCATTCAGGCATAATTACGATATTTCACTAAACTCTTAGAGTCCAGACAGACTGGTCCAGACCTCAGGGCGATGTGCAATAATAAATGTGCCTTCTGTTTCACCCAAAGGCTGGCCCTTACTGTAATTTGTCTCTTATAAGGTCCTGATTTTTCCAGACACATTTGTTTTCTTTCTCCGTTGGTCTTTGTAACATCACCAATTTTTGGCAAAAATAATATGTCTAAAATATGATTTTATTTCCTGCATCAGTTCCCAGTGCCAATGTGTGTGAATGGCCACTGGGGGGCTCCACTCCCAAAGACTTACAGTCTTGAGAGCCATGTTTTTCAACCTGCAGGTCAAAACCCATTTTAGAGACTATGAATCTGAAGAATATAGGAAAGAAGAGGGTTTGTTGTAAGAATAAATAGTGAAGGTAAGTACTGTTTTGAGAAACTTCTATTTCACTTGCATGTTTCTATACATATTGGGTTGCCGTTTGAAATGTCAGCAGCCTGGAAATTTGAAGAAGAAAAAAAAAGGTTTTGAAAGTTTGAAAGCCACTCACTCTAAGTTATGGGGAAGGGGAATTGTTAAATCAATAGAGAGTTTTATGGGGTTAAAAAATAATTTATGATTGCAACCCCCATCTTTTAAAAGTAAGCTGCAGAGTTAGAGCACCAACCACGAAGTTCATAGGGACTTGAAGTAAATCAAAACTTTAGGACAGGATCAGAAAGCTGCGTCTAGAGAGCAGGGTGGAAAAATTCCTTCCTAAGGCTCAGTTGAAAGGGAAGAAAGAAGAGGAAGTCAGGAGGAGAGCATATAAAGACTAAAAGCCTGTGAAGCTAAAACTGCTCTAAAAAATAATCTATTTTTTTAAAAAAAAGAAAGAAGAGCTCTGGCCCTTGTGGCTCAGTGGTTAGAGCGCTGGCCTGTGCACCAAATGGCTTCAGGCATGTACCTGGGTTGTAGGTTTGATGCCCAGTCCTGGTTGAGGTAGGTGTAGGAGGCAACCAATCGATGTTTCTCTCTCTCTTCTCTCCCTTTCACTCTCTCTAAAAATCAATGGGGAAAGAATATCCTTGGGTGAGGATTAACAAAAAAAGAATAAGAAAGCAAAATTCTCCATTCCTTCCCCAAACTCTTTTTTTCCCTGTGGCAGCAGAGTGGGCTACTTAGGTTCGATGCCCTGTTTCTGTGTTGCTATCACAGCTAACAACTAACCTGACTCATGTTTGAAAAAAAATGAAACCTCTGCTCGAAGCAAGAATTCTCCTTGATGGCAGGTTCTTATACTTAACTCTCTTGCACAGTTCAGTTCTAAATTATAAACATTTGGATATGCAGTAAACGAAATCTCTTATTTAAATCTTATCTGTAGCTTTAGGGGATTCTCTGTTACCCCCCCCAATGCCGGTCTTCCATTGAGTAACCCTGAGCAATTAACACACGAGGGTTACATAAGTAAGGGACTAAGTCAGGAGGCGCCCACATATTTTGAGAAGTGTGATAAAACTGGAAGTTTGAATCCGAGGGGTTGGATTAAGGAAAGAAACGAAAGGAGAAAACCAGAAGGTTCCCACAATGGCACACAAATAGAAAACCAGAGAATTCCAGAGGTCTTGGACAAATAATTGGTCACTTGACATATTTCAATAGTTGAAATAACCACTAGCTTCTCCTCAACTTTTTAAAGTGATTTTGGCTTTATCACTCCCCGGCCATCTTGGCGGCTGCATCTGGTTGGGGGCCGTCCCACACTTAAGGCAGGAAGATGGTGGCCGCAAAGAAGACAAAAAAGTCATTGGAGTCCATCAACTCTAGGCTCCAGCTGGTGATGAAAAGTGGCATGTATATGCTGGGGTACAAGTAGACGCTGAAGATGATCGGACAAGGCAAAGTGAAGCTGGTCATCCTGGCCAACAACTGCCCGGCCCTGAGGAAATCTGAAATAGCGTGCTATGCCATGTTGGCCAAGACTGGTGTCCATCACTACAGTGGCAATAATATTGAATTGGGCACAGCATGTGGAAAGTACTACAGGGTATGCACACTGGCTATCATTGACCCAGGTGATTCTGATATCATTAGAAGCATGCCAGAACAGACTGGTGAAAAGTAAATCATGGGAAATTTTTCTTTAATAAAATTTACCAGAGCTTGAGCGGCCAGGCCCGGAGCAGCCGGGTCAGGTGCGGCCAGGCCCAGAGCAGCAGCAGCCAAGTCCAGAGCAACTAGGTCGGGAGCGGCAGTGACCAGACCCAGAGCAGCTTGTTGTGGAACGAACCAGAGCAACAGAGGCCAGGCCCTGAGCAGCCAGGCCTGGAACAGCTCGCTCCTCGCCTGCCCCCACCCCAAGGCTGCCTCTCAGACATGGCTGGAAACTTTTGCGGGAACTTGAGGGTTTGCTGAATCAAGTGATGAAGGCTTAGATCTGGATGTGTTGAGTTAGTATAGGGCTGGGGTGTTGATCTGTGAGTGCCTTGGGTGGGGCCTGGATGAGGCTAGTTGACCTATTGGGAAATGTCTTTTGTGTGAAGTGTATCATTGGGCATGTGGAGGTATTATTGATATGAGAAAATGCTAAGTAACTGATTTACTATCTGAAAAGGGATTTACTATTGGGGAAAGGGAGGGAAGAAGAGACTGAACATAAACTGTGCACCTATGGATGAGGACAATGGGGGAGGGGGATGGGGCGGAGGGTGGGTTGAGAACCTGGTGGAGGGGGGAAGAAATGAGGAACCTTTGTAATAATATGAGCAATAAAGATTGATTAAAAAAAAATTTTTTTTACCAGAGCTTGGTTTAAATACCTGCAAAAATAAATAAGTAAGTAAGTAAGTAAGTAAATAAATAAATAAATAAATAAATAAATAAAGTGATTTTGGAACCATTTTAGACTGCCAGGAAAGTTGCAAAGATTCTCTCAACTTTTTCCCTTAGTGGCTAGCTCTTTACTTCTGCCCTTTGCTGTATCCTATCCAACAGTGACCGTGCTCCAAGAGGCTTTGAGTGTTTATTGAGCATTTACCACGTGCCGAGCCTGGGTAGGTGCTGATGGGAGAAAGTGCTGATGGGAGAAAGCTGCCTTTACCCTTTCTCTCCCCTGTCATCTCCCTATTCTTCCGAGCATCATGGTACTTATGTGGTCTGTGCACAGGGACAGGGAGGGACTGTGAGCTCTTTACCTCCACCCTAAGGACCAGCATTATTGTGGGTACAGCTGAGTGGTAGTATCATGTGCAATGACTTTTCCAATGAAGGATATCACCTTAATATTTTTTATTTATTTTATTTTTAAAATATATTTTATTGATTTTTTTACAGAGAGGAAGGGAAAACGATATTTAGAAACACCAATGAGAGAGAAACATCAATCAGTTGCCTCCCGCACTCCCCCAACCCTACCGGGATGTGCCTGCAACCAAGGTACACGACCTTGACCGGAATCAAACCTGGACCCTTCAGTCCACAGGCCGACACTCTATCCACTGAGCCAAACCGGTCTCAGCCTTAATGTTTTTTAAAACTGCACATTGATATGTGATAATTCACCTGTGTCTTCTATGCAAAGAGCCTGAGCCAAGTTTGGAAGAGAACTGTCTTCGAGAACTCACCCACACAGGGGCTCTGGGAGTCACTATGTTACCGGAACCTCTTCCCTTACCCACACAACACCAGAAGTTTGGACTCTAAGACCCCATGTTCTTTCTAAAACTACACGTGTTCAGGCATGGGGACATTTCACGTAGAAAACGTGAGCTCTTTTCCAACTCCTGTTCAGACTTCCTTCTCATTCCAGATATGTTGCCCCTGACCAGAGCTGTTCTCCTACTTCACTTGGTCATAGTCCTGCACCGAGAAATGCCACTAGTTACAGAATTCCTGTTGGAAAGGCCGTCATCCAAAAACACCTTGGCCTGAGCCCCAAATGAAATCAAGATCACAGGCACACAGAAAAGAAATTAGGAAGCCCAAAGCAAAAATGTAGATGTGCCTGTGTGTGTGTGTGTGTGTGTGTGTGTGTGTGTGTGTGTGTATGTGTGTGTGTGTGTTTGTGTGTGTGTAGCTTCTGTGACAGTTCAGCTGGGACATGTGCCCTTCAGGGAGGGGAGGGTTCTTCTGGCGGAAGGCAGAGGCTTTTGTTCTGCCTGGGAGACAATTGGAGTGAGGAGGAGGGAGGCGTGGACCCCGGGAGACTGGAGACGAGGCAGGCAGCAGCTGCCAACTCCAGCTGGGCCCAGCTCAGCTCTGTAGGTGGATCCAATTCTGGGCCTCTCTGTGCTTTTGGACGCTGATCTGCCTTTTTCCCAATCCTGCAGCATTCCCGATTTTGGTCTATGGAATTGACCAATACCAATATCGCATAGTCTGACAGTTTATCTTCTCTGGAGAGGGTATCTTGTAGTGTGATCTGGTCACCATTTTTGATCAGCAGATATTATTTATACGCAGACTTATTTATAATTCCATTTGCTCTAAAATGATTTAAGGCCGTTTACAAGCAGGGTATAAGGCCATCAGTGTCGCTTCAGATTTCAGTTAGGAGTGATTATGACCAAGGACATGGCTGATGCAGTTGGGTCCAGTCACAGCCACCCCACCCACATGATGGGCGAGGCCAAGCCGGCCATCATCCTGTCATCACTACCAATTCAGTCTTTCTGAAACCGTTTAGCTCATTTCTCTCCCTAAATCTCTCCCTTTTGCCTTTATCCGTTTGCTACTTAATTCAACAAACATCATTTGAACATATATTACACGAGAAGAACTTCATTTTAATTTTCATCAAAGTAATAATACAGAAATCCTGGGAGTGTAAAACTATTGCAGAACAAGTTACCATCATAGCAATGCAACAACTTCCACCTGAATATTAGACATGCCTAGTAATAGCCAGTACTTTGTGAGTGCTTATGTGATAGGTACTACCTATCTATATATATATAATAGGCTAATATGCAAAGGGTCCCCTCAGCAGTTCCACCTGGAGTCCAGGAGTTCGATTGCTCACTGTGATGTGCGCTGGCCAGCAGGGGGCGGTGCAGAACAAAGGAAGGCCCCAGCTGGCAGCTGGCAGCCAGGGAAGGGAAGCCCAGGCTACCTATCGGCCCTGATCGCTGGCCAGGCCTAGGGACCCTACCTGTGCCTGAATTTCATGCTCCAGGCCTCTAGTCTATTCATATACACAGTAAACTTGTCTGGAAGACATATGTGGGGGCCACGTTCTTCATTCCCCCAAAATGCAGGATTTCATAGTGTGAGGTTAATGAAGTGGCTGGGTGAGCTTGTGCACCTGTGCTAGCTGATTCCGTTCCATGGGCACTTGGGCTTAAATATTGTCATGGTCAGTCTCCCTTCCTGGGGTTAGTTGGATGGGCGGGATGGGAGCAGCCGTTTCGGGAACCTCCTAGGTAGATGGCGCCAGGGAGATGGGCTGGAAGAACACTGGGGGTGCTAGTGTGACCTTTCCCACCACATTCTCTTCTACTCCAGCCCAGCATGACACTGTGCATGTACTTAGTGCTACAGAAGTATACACTGAAAAAGGGGTAAAATAACAAATTTGATGTTATGTATATTTTACCGCAATTTTTTTTTTTTTTTTTTTTTTTTTTTTTTTTTTTTTTTTTTTTTTTTTTTAAAGAACCTCAGCCCAACACTGGCTGAGAATGGGCGTTGGAGAGAGGATGGAAGCCAGGCACCATTTCTCTTACATCGAATTGTTTTATTACAAGGGGCATCGGGGCAGATTTTATAGACGTGAACCTGGATAACTCATTTCAGCCACAGAGCCCAGACCACACTACCATTCCATTTCTTGGTTTGCCCATTCCCAACAACAACAATAACCAACAAAAACCATGCATTCCATCCTCTCTATTATGCAGAATAATTCAATCATTCCTCCCCTACATCTGTCTTTTCAGGCTCTGTCCCATCTTTTAAAACCTAAAAGTGTCTTCACGGTATTTTCCAAAACAAATCAATCCCATTCTGCAGAGGGGTTCCAGTAAAGAACTTAAGAAAAAAAAAAAAAATCTCCATGTTGAAAGATGACCTTGAATTCACTAAAATTATGTTTTCAAAAACAATCACTGTCAAACTTTAGTGCTCTCTTCTCTCTCAAACTTTAGTGCTCTCAATAGTACTAAGTTGCTTGCAATATACTCCCCAGTGATTGAGAAGCACTGCTCTCATTTTCTGATTTGGCGCATGTGCTAGATTACAAATCAATTTCAAGGTTCAGGAGTAGTGTTTCCACACTTGTGTCCTCACCACCGGAGCTCCTGACAAAAGCTGGCTGGAAGGAGCCAATGAAAAAGAGATTTCCACCCGCCCCCCCTCCCATCTCTTTCCTGGGATGTGGTATGGCAGGACTGCTCTGGGATTGGTCAAGTAAGTGTTTCTCCACTGTCCTCCACAGCAAAGGGTATGACCTTTGCCAGAAAATGTTGGCCAAGTTGTGATTCGATAGGGAACAAAACCCAGGAGGAGCCGTGATTCAACCCCTACGGCTCAAAACTTAGAATGGAATGCTTTGTTTCCTACGCCTCCCAAGTTATCTGGTCAACCTTCTTGCCCTCCCCACCCCCTTTAAAAAAAAAAAATTGTTTCTTTGCAAAAGTGAGACCCTGAAGGGGGGCACAGCTGCTGTGTGACCTCAAGTGACCACACAGTTAATTCCCCAAAGGAGTGCCTCTGTTTTTAATAGTGCACAAAGGACTCCAGTTCAGAAAAGCAAAGAAGGGAACTGACACAGTACGTCTGCATTCACTGGATTTCAAAATCCATAGTGTAGCCACGAGCTGAAGTCAGAACCAGGCTGAGCCACTAAAAATGTGGGAGTGGAAGAAGGATAGAAGAAAATGGCTAATCAAAAACTCCCCACCAGGTAGCTTATTGAGCAAAGAAACATCACTTTGTGCTGCTTACAAAGATGGTGGAGTCCTCACTCCTTTATTTTACAGATGAGAGATGGGACAGCATAGTGACCTGTCCAAGCCACATAGTAACTTTATGGCTGCGGTAGGTCCGACTTGGGCATTCTTTCCATTCAACCATTTCACCCTTCTTAACCTGCAAAAGCAAATTTAAGATGCCCTTGAGTTCTAAAGA